CGTGATGGTAACTCCTACACCACCAAATCATTGTAAAGTGGAGCTTGGCTGTAACAATCCTCTTTCAATCAGGAATTTATTAAAAGATTGAGTGATTGTCTCAATTTGTCTGATGTTCATAATTGTAGCGAGTGTTTTTTGGGTAAGTAATAATTTAAAATTTTAAATTTATCAATAGAAAAATTAGAATTATTTCTTTTTTTAATCATCAAGCCCACTCTCACGATATACCATGCCAAAACTTTGACGCAAACCTACCAGAAATTTCTTGTTCATATCACAGTAATGCTTCCGACTTGTTTGTTTCGTCAATTGTTGGTTGGTTATCATATCGCTTGGACAGCGAATAATGTGTAGTGTTGGTGTATTATGGATAAGCGCCGCTTTGCCAGACAACCTACGATTAGAAACTGTTCAATTTGTATTTTTCACTGCGACTTACGCTATAATTTCCACATCGTCGCACCCAATGCCAGGAGAAAGGGTTAGAGAAAAAAGGTTGCGGTTAATATGGTCAAGTTTATGGGTTTTGAAATATGCCATATAGTATTGGATTTTTTATAGGGCTGGCCATTGCTGGCATTTTAATGGAACATGTGGATTTTTGGTGCATTATACACGTTTTCGGATATTATATGTGCCTAAAACAAATATACGGGGTATCAAAAGTCCACAAAGCATATAATTACCCTTATAGAGTAAGTATTGGTTCTATATAAATTTTATTCATGCCTAATTATATTCATCTCTTATGCCATTGCCTTCTAGATCTCGTATGGAACGTGATATTTCTAAGGCTTGTTCACAGGAATTACACTTCACAAGTGAAATCATTTCAGGTGCAGATTTACTCAAATCTTTTAATCTTCTACCTGAAGACAAGTCTGAAAACCGTAGCAAATTGAAACAAAATAATTAGATTCAAGTGTGGTCAAAAAAAAAGTGTAAATTGTATGCAGAATCTTTGTGAGGATGATGATAATTCACACTAGTGGGTTTTGTATTTTATAGCTAGTGAAATCAAAAATCGAAAGTTGACTAAAAATCGAATAGTTTGGGGAATGTTAGAAAAATAGGATTCTGCATTTAGATCAAATCGCCGGATATAGTTCAGAGAAATTAGTGAATGCAGTTTGTCAATTACTTTGGATGAGGAAATTTGTAAAAATGAGTTGAAAATGTAATTTCTAATATGTGATCACAGAGGTTGAGCCATGTTGCGTTACTCGTGTATTACGTTACATCAAATTTTTATAAGATAATTCGACTTTTCATTGCTTACAAAATTCATCGAGCTCATTACTTGAAAAATGGATTTAAAATTTTCAAACTACTATAGTGCGTCGCGTTTGACCAGATTTATTTACATTAAAAACCAGACGTGTATTTTTACAAATGTCTGCCTCATTTTATTTTATTCAAAGAAAATTTTTTTTAGGAAAAAAAAACTAGCAAAAAAAAAAAAAAAACTTAACAAAAAAAAAAAAAAAAAAAACTATTGCAAATATAATAGAACGTGTTTTGGTGCAACTTTTAAAAAAAAACTATTGTAAACATAATAGAACGCGTTTTGGTTCAACCTTCTTTTTAAAGGTTAGTGTAGTAACTCCATACTCCATTGTGACATTGACATTTGTTGTTGTA